CGTTTAACTAGTGTGCTGACACAATCCTCTAACAATGTCAGCGATTTCCTTCGTTTTTCGTCAATTTTTTGCCGACTTACCGACATTTCTAACATTTCGGTCGGAGGCATCTGACTTATTCGTCATATTTTAGGCTAGGCTTTTTCTTTACTGGGTTTCTTAGTCAAATGTAAAACGATCAACTGTTTCTGAAGGGAGGGCCTCTGTAACGCCTTGGCATACATACATCCTTGTTTACAATTATTTCTATACTGAAAGTCATGACCTCAAAAACCTGCGATCGGTAAGACACAAAATTATCCAACAAACACTTCTGCTAAAATACTTGAAATCCTGGCGATTGAATGTCTCTCCAGTTCAGGCCAGATATTTTGAAAACATCGGGCCTGTCTTCATCAGGTGAAAGTATCCAATGAGCTCATAATGTCAGCAAGAGAGGCCGCAACTGACGGTAAAATAACGAAGATTAAACTCGCGGCTCTCAGTCGGAGTCTGGTAGCTCAGATGGTTACAGCGTTGGTTGTATTCAAACCGTACCCTCGCTGTCGGGGATTCGGATCCCACTGAGGCCGCCGAGTTTTTCGTAAGTGGGTTAAATGAATAAATATTACATTTTTCGAACTACTTCAGTGCAAGTTAATAGGGCAGATAATTTTGACAGTGGGATCTTTATGTCGTGAGAGCGATTCTGCAAGAAGAAACGCGGATAGACTACAGCTAAAAAGTACGAAATGTATTCGTCGAGATTGACAACAGACTCTACGGCGACCAGGATGGTCATTTTTGACTTAATGACCGTCTTACTGCAACCATACAGTAGGTTAGCTAACTCAGGAGATGTCAACCGAAATTCCAAAATGCGTTTTCGTTTCGAAAAGATCAATTAAATATTGCTGTTAAACTAGTCCTTTTGCAGAATAGTTCTATAATATTTCAGTTACCTCAGGATGTCGGCTTTCGAACGAACTTCTTTCCGGCTGCATGCGAAAGACCACACTCCGCATACAATGACTACTTAAATAGCATGCTTTTTCCTTATCGATTTTCGATGCCCTGGAAAATTAAATTATATTTCATTGAAGACATGCATAAAAACATTAATTCTCCTGTTCATTAGGTAGAAAATAACGTTTTCTTCCGATTGTATACTCGGAGGAAGGGTATAACTCGGCTTTAAAAAGTTTCTAATTGTGAGATTTTTTAATACCGTGAAATGGCCGTTCATAAAACGTCATGTATCTGCCTTTACCTATTTGGCTTATAAAGTTAAAAATATAACTCAAATCGACTGTTAAATTTTATGAACTCCATATGGTCTCCTCTTAATACACTAGAGGACAGTGTGGTTTTCTGTGCACGGAAAATATACGACTTGTAGTTTGGGAACCCTGAATACAAGCGTAACAGCAGGTCAGGTTTAAAATTATTCAGGGATTGGAGAAGTTTTCGAAAATGGAATTATACTCTTCCTTCGAGTATACAATTTGAAGAGAACGCCATTTTCTACCGAATGAACAGGAGAACGAATATTTTTATGCATGTTTCCCTGAAATATATTTGAAGATTTAAGGGCGTCGAAAATCAATGAGAAAAATGCATGCTATTTAAGTAGTCCGAATCCGTAAATCCGAACCCAAGCCAGTCCCAATTGGTGCATTTTTGGGCAACAAGATCTTCTCAATTGTCTGCACTATTTGTGATGGATGAACAAGATTATGCGATAAGATGTGGTTATATAGCCAAACCTGATGGCCACAATACTACTGGGGTTGGGGTTAGGGGGTTAGAGTTAGGGGTTAGGTCAACTATTTCTCACCCATTCAAAGTACAACAGAGCATTCCCAATAGCGTTTATGTTGCATACAACTACTTGACCTTGTTGCCTGTACCTTGCCCGGCCCCAACTGTAAAAACCCCCATTTCCACCGGTCCAGTACTACAGACGGCTGGGGTTTGTTTACTTCAGGTGGGGCTACATAACCACATCTGAACGCAAAATCCAACGCGTTTGAATCTATCACGACGAACTTAACTTCGTGGTTTGGAAGGTTGCCAACTGACTGGGTGACTCTGTTTTCGCAAGACGGAAAGTCAGGCTCAATGACTCCTTCTAAATGATAACCTTAGTGGCACTTCCAGTTGGGTGGGATCTGGACCATCCCCATTCATGAAAAACTTTTACATGCAGTGTGTAGCCTGCGTAAACGGGCCGTTTAACTTCGCTGGCTACTGCGCCTGAGTCCACCTCCGGTCGTCCTGACTGGGTTGTGCCACTGAGCTCAGGAGGGTGAGGCAGGAGAGAGTTCGGCAGGTGTTGCGCAAGTCTGTTATCACTGTACACTAATTCACGAGAAAGTCACCGTTTCTCGCCCACAACGCTGTGCGTCGCATGGTGGATCTCGTCGTTTGTGACGCCCGAACTGATGTGGCGGTCGTTGCTCGCTGTTTGCAGTCTTAACCGTACTTCCAAATGCAACTTTCTCCTTTTGCATTCTAACCCTTAGCTGCAGCCCTCCCAGGCAGTAAGTATTCAGACAAAGAGGAATGAAACCTTATGACCATCTTCGGCTCAAGTGTCCCATTCAAACGGGGCCAGTCCATCTATCGGTCTCCACCGTATAATCTTCGGCGAGGGGTCGAGTTAGGAGTTCCATGGCTAACGGAAGGATTGTACAGCTGACCGCCTATCCGCGGTTCATTATTCACTGTTTTTTTTGTGGACCATGTGTAGACTTTTTGATTTTGATTTATTGTGATTTTGATTTTTGATTTATTTGATTTGATTTACTTGATTGATTTGATTTTTGATTTATTTTTGTGACTAAATATTTTTTATGATAAAAAGTGATTTACTTATTTTCAAATATCCGTATTAATTCATAGATGCTTTGACAGATTTTGGATAATTCATAATGACCCAACTGTCAAAAATTCGGCGCCTCGGTGGGATTTGGACCCACGACAGTAAATGGAAGGCTTTAGTGCAGCCAACGCTCTAACCACCTGTATTGAAGTAAACAAAGCGAATAAATTATATTGTATTAGGATGATACCTTAGAGTATATTTGGTGTTTGGACATCAAAATAGGCAGTTATAAGCGTTTTCAGAAGGGTCTCAAGCATTTGCGGATTTCAACTATTCGCGGGTAGTTGTAGTCCCCAATTCCCGCGAATACCGCGGTCGACTTCGTTCCGTCATGTAGGCGAGCCAGATCAACGGGCTCCACTTGCATGTGGTTCTGGAGCAAAAACTACAAACGTTAATACAGGAAGGCAAAAGAAGGTCGCCGAAGAAACGTGAGGGAAAAACTCCAGAATGCTTTACAAGACTAAAACTACTTTTTCGCATAAGGTCGTCAATTTTATGTATAATTTCCATTAATCACTATTCCGCTTACTTCATTTTATCAGATTGCTCGACGGTTCGACCGCCGATTCTGAGGATGCTTAACGTGTGTCCCTCAGCAGGGTGGGCGCAGGAACGATGACTTTCGGGTGAATTAGTTTATAGTGATTGTTGACATGTGCTGTATCTATCGTATTCTCTCCTCCCCCACCCTCCTCCGCCCGCTAAGTCATAGTCAAGAAGGCCGGAGAAAGGAAAAGACGCAGGTGGCTGGCTCAGAGTGAGCCCGCACTCAGGCCTGCCACCGCTCACTTTCATAGGTGCTCAGCCTAATAACGCGTGCCAAACCTTGATCTGATCCCGTGTTGGTCCAGCACAAATCCCACGTGACTCCCTGGTAGGCAGTTTAGAAGCTTGTTAAAGCGGTGTGAACGAAGCATATTCTGCCTCGCAAAGTAGGACAAAGTGGGAATGGGTTAGAAGCCATTAAAATAACCTACAAGGGCCCTTGTTATTTTATACTATTGACAAAAAATGCCCCATCCCAACATTAAGCAGAACCGCATACACTTTTCGACAGATGGAATACTCACTACGTTTATATTGGGTCGTCCCACAAGTTCGTGCGATTTTCAATTGCTCAAAAGTTTATCACACTATAATTTGTTGATGTATTCGTGCTAGATGTCATTTTGTTCCTCCAGCCGAGGGCTTGCAGAATTTATTTATAATTTTTCATTCGAGTTAACTTTTGACTATTTACAGTCCTAAGGAGGCATGGATGATTGCTGTCGGCTGATAGTCTTTCCTGGGACATACATGGCTGGTTGTTGCTACACGACCTCCGTATGATCAGACGCCCGTTAACAGGGATCAAAAATGGTGGACTGATAGATCATGGACGTCACCCAGAAGAGGCCGCCTGTGTTAGTTTATATCAGTGAAAATAGGCAGTGTGACTATTTAGTCCAAACCAAAGGGAAACACACTTTGATTAGACTATGCGGGTGCGGCGAGTGTATGCTGGCGTCCCCGGTTCGCCAGTCTCTGTGCGATGGATTCGCAAGTGACCGACCAGACCGGTGCGTGGAGTGAATATGCGATTGCAATGAGGGCAGGTATAGACCGAATCCCCCTCGCTGCGGGTGGGGATGTTGGTGATGGTTGGAGTTGATTAGACGTCAGACGTCGTCCCATCAGTGGGGGATGTGCGTGGAGTCGTGGTCGTGGTGCTGGACGCTGCGGTCGATGCAGGCGTTGGGACAGGGCCGATGGTGGCGGTGAGGCAGCGATAGTGCGATCGTCGGTGACGGCGGTGCCGATCGGCGCGGGGTTTGCGGCAGGGGAGAAAGTGGGAGAAGAGATAGACATTGGCGGGTAGATGACGGATTGGGTTCCAAGGCGTCCAACGAAACCAACTCGTGAGCGAAATGCGCTTTGGTAGCGGGGCATGTCGGTAGCGGCCGGCTGATGGCACTGGAGAGGCAACGCACTTGCGACTTGTGAGCCTCCCGTTTAGCTTTGGCGGCGGCTATCCGACTTGCTTCGCAGACGGATGCGCCAGTCTTCCCTTCTCTTCTCGAAGCTGGTCTGGTCTGGGCGAGGTTCTCCCAGGTCTTTGGGTTGACATGCAATCGCTCAAGAGGATTCTTTAAGGTGTCCTAGTAGCGTCATTTTGGTCCCCCCGGTCGGCGAGCATTCTTTGCGACATTTCCGTTGAAGAGTTATTTTGGCAGATGAGCGTCATCTACTCTCACGAGGTGGTTGCTTCATCGCAGTTGCAGTCGTCTCAGCAAGGCGTGGATGCGGAGGTTTCCGGTCCGTCTCAGGAATTCCGTGCCCAGGATTCTGTCCTGCCATCTCAGCCTCAGTACTCTGCGAAGGCAGTTGAAATGGAAGTGGCTGAGCTTCCTGACATGGTTTGCGTAGGCGGTCCAGGTCTCTGCTCCATATTGAAGTATCACTATGGCGACGGTCTTGTACGTCTTCAGTTTTGATGTTCAGATGAAGGCCATGGCGATTCCACACAGAGACTTGCAACCGACCGAAGGCCTGGCTGGCTTTGGAGATCTGGTGGGCAACCTCATCGTCTATTCTGAAGCTATTGGAAAGTGCGCTTCCAAGATAAGCAACATTGTCCACGGTTTTGAGTTGGTGGTCGTCGACAGTGATTCGAGGAGGAATGCAGTGTTGCGTGTTGGGTAACGGTTGGTGCATGACCAACGTTTTGTCCGTGTTGATAGTGAAGCCGAAGTTGGTGCACCGGACGGTGAGGAGGTCCATGCTCTGTTGCATGTCCACTGCGGTCGGGGGGTTGAGCGTGCGGTCGTCGGCGAGGAGCAGATGATGGACCGTGGTCGTAGATAGTCACGTTCGGGCCTGCATGCGGCTGTTGTTGAGATGGTGGCCGCCAGGAAACTACGCCGCAGGACAGTCACGTGTGTGTGTGTGTGAGTCATCAATTGGCACACCTCGGGGTCGTAACGAACTCCTTTACAAGTTAGGCTTACGTGACAGCCTTAAGGACGTTACCGTCTTAATAAAAACAGAGACTGACAGGCTAAATAACCTGTTTGCTAGTCAACTTTTTAC